GGGCCGGGGCTCGCGGGTGGGTCTGTCGCCGGGAGCCGGGGGAAGTGGTTTTCTTGGGGTGACTCGCTACGTAGGGAGCTGAAAACGCAGGAAAACCTTCCCAGCTTTTGCCGTGAAAAAAGCTCTTTTCGTTTTAGACACGCTGCTTCCTTCTTCTTCCAGCATGAAAGACTGGAAAATGAGGCTGAGCTACTTCCTGCAGAACTCCTCCAATTCTACTAAAATGAAATCCAAGAAAGTGGGGAAACAGCACACCTACTTCAGGTAAGCTGTGAGAGGGAGGCGGTTGAAATAACCCGGGTGTTTTGCAAATCCCGCAAAGCTTGAGCGAGGGAGCCTGACGTGCCCATCTCTTACGCAGACCTTCCCCCGAAGAAGCCGGGCTGTGGGCAGAAGCCTTCGACCAACTCCTTGCTAATAAATGTAAGTCTGTCCGCAAAAGGCGGCGTGTAGGATCAACGGGATGGAGGAGTTACGGGTCTGTAGGAGACTGCTTCCTCACATGTCAGCACTGAACCTTTAAAATGTAAAGGGCTTTGATTTGGGGCTTGAAAGTTAAACATTTTAAAATGTTTAAAGCAAAAAAAACCCACAGAAGCGGTTTTTTTTTTAAATACCTAAGCTAATATTAAAACATCAAGAATACTTCACTGTAATAGATTTTTTTTTCTGAAATCCTTGTACTTAAAAACATACCTATCAGCTTTGCCAAATGTGAAAAGAGCATTTGTTCACTGACCTCCCTGCTTAACCAAGACAAATGAGTTCAAGTGACTTGGGAAGGATTCTGCAGCACAGAAGTTCGATGGTCTCAGGGTCTTAAGCTTTAGCTCTACACGGAAAAGCACTCGACACTGGAACAAAAATGCTAAGAAATAATATTACCATTTGCTCTTTGAGCTTGAGTCATTCTTTCCATTGCAAAAAAAGATTCCAAAGGGTTGTAGCCCAGTCATCAATATTTACCACTGTGTAAAGGTTAACACAGGACATCACATCTTTTTTTTAATATATATATATATACGCAGACATCACAATAGGGAACATACAGACTAGAAATGGCTTTCAGTTTTGTGTTTGCCTATAAATGACGGACATCACTTTTTTTTAATATATATATACGCAGACATCACAATAGGGAACATATGGACTAGAAATGGCTTTCAGTTTTGTTTGCCTATAAATGACTAGCTCCAAGTGAAGCCTGCAAAGCTGTTGGAGTGTTAATTTGTTTGCACACATAAACATGTTTTTGGTTTTTTTTTTTTTAATTGCTGTGATTCGTGATATCCCTGAAAAAACCAGACCAGTACTACAGCAAATTTTTTTGTTAGAAAGACAGATATGACCAGTGAGTAAATTCAAGATTCCTGAAACAGTTAATTGATGTGGCTTTTTTTATTCCTTTCCCTAGATGGTCTTGCTGCTTTCCGAGCTTTTTTGAAGTCTGAGTTTTGTGAAGAGAACATAGAGTTCTGGTTGGCCTGTGAGGACTTCAAGAAAACCAAGTCACCCCAGAAGATGACATCAAAAGCAAAAAAAATCTACAGTGATTTCATTGAAAAGGAGGCACCCAAAGAGGTAAAGAAAACCTATTTAAACATAATGCCCTGTTCTGTGAGTTCTTACAGCCTTTATTTCTCTGAACTCACTTTAAGATAAGATGCCAATTGTACATACCTAACTGTTAATATCTGTCTAAACGTATATCTCTCCCCTAACTGCCTATTCATCAGGCTGGAAAACAGCACAAATAGTATTTCAGAGTTTCCATCTTAACTGGGGAAAGGCAGCAGCTGCATTTAACCCCTGTAACATCTGAGTTTAGCACTGGAAGATAGTATATCTCTATTACTTTGGGGTTTGTATAAAAGAATTTTCTGAAAGGAAACAATTAATTTGACCCTGTAGTAACAGGGTCTTGCCTTTTTTGCCTCTTCAGAAATTTAATGGTGTATTACGCTTACTTGAATTCAGTTCTCAGAAATAAATGTCCTTTTTTTTTTTGTATTTCAGATAAACATAGACTTCCAAACCAAGGATATGATTGCACAGAATATTCAAGAAGCCACGCATACCTGCTTCAGTGCAGCACAGAAGAGGGTTTACAGCTTAATGGAGAGTAACTCATACCCACGGTTTTTGGAATCTGAATTCTATCAGGAGCTGTGCAAGAAGATACCCATCACTGGAGTGGCCCAGGGAGTATGAGCAGTGGAGAAGAGTGAGAAGCAACCTCTCAGCTAGTGAGGAAGCAAGCCACAGCTCACGGCAGCATCCTGACCTGAAAGACAGAGATACCGAGCACTCGGTCTGTTTGCCATGGTGCAAGGACAAATACTGACCTCGGTGCAAAGCTGATAGCAGAGTGATGCTGCTGGAGGGCATTCAGGTGATGGCAGAGAGGTGCCAGCCAGCTGCTGGCATGTGCTTCTCTGCGAGTGCTGCAGTAGAAGGTGACTCCCTGCGTTACGTCAAACGACACAGCGTACAAGTCCTTCTGTCAGAGCTGAGGTGGTGGTGCAGCAGGTCAGAACAGAGCTTCCCTCTTCTGAAACAGAAGCTGCTCTGTGCCACAGTGCTGGCAACCCGAGTATTTGGTTGTGTATTTATTTTTCCTAAACATCAACCAGTGTTGCTGTCATCAGTCACTTGGTGTGTTCATGGTGGTTCTGTAAACTGCCTCTAGCTGCAAAGAGATGTGTTAGATTCCTGTGTGACTTCCAGACAGGAACAGCACTGTGCAGTGTGAAGTGAGGAAGGGATATAACTCAGATCCCAGAGGAACACACGCAGGACAGTGTTGTGTCAGCAGGGCTGCACAGGGCCGGAACAAGGGCAAAACTTGGCCAAGATGAACAGGAGCTGTGTAGTATTATGTGAATTATGCTTGTGTTGAATACAGCAATAATGTTATATTTCTGTACTGAGGACAGCAAGCTTCAGTGAAGTCTCTGACTGTTTTTAATAAACTCTTTTGATACAAAGCTGCTTCTGTTGCTTAACTTGTTTTGCACACACTGATTTATACTCTCAACTATGGACATCCGAAGTATTGAGACTGTGTATCCTGGGTTTGATCTTCACATGGCTGATTTGAAAGCAGATAGCTCCTAATCTACCAGGCAAGTGTTCATTTTGTAACAGAATTTAAAAAAAAAATTCTGAGCATAATGGGAGAGATGTAGTCCATTTTAGCCACCTCTCCATGAAACCAATCTCTGAGACAGTGACACACCAACTGGAAAGCAGCAATACTGCTGCTGGAAGTCACAGGATGTGGTTTGGAATACAGGTTCCAGTAACACAGTTGCTCCTGCTCAAGATGCCTGCTTCACACTAGACTTAGAAGGGCAGTAGTATGAAGCTGTGAAACCCACACAGGACCAGTAAAAGTAACATTGCAATAAAAGCACCCAACTCCCTGATAGGCAAGTACTCCATAGGGAGAAAGAGATACTGGTCAGCATTATTTGATGTCCATTTTTTTTAAACTGACAACATCCAAAATGAATACTTCTAAAGCAGGCCCACACGTCTAAGCCTTAATTTGTTAGTTTTGTGACATTTAAACTGTAGGTCTGTTTAGGTCCTGGCTCCAGCTATTTTGACTCCACACATCAAGAAAATTATAACTACAGGATTTTCCATTTCAGTTACACATCCACAGATGATTTAAAAGCACCTATTTCATGCATGTATATACATATTGCAGGATATATAGCAGTGTGTACATATATGTACATACCTGTGTGTGTACACATATATTGCCTCTATGCATAGAAAGAGGCAAATAGCCCCCACTTTGACATGGGCCCATTTCTAGAGCTGCGTGAGCTGACTCTCCCACATCTAAACTTGCAGCTAGGTTAAATCCACTTAAGCACAAGAAAAACTCAGACCAATAATTTACTGCAACACAAAGATGGTGTGTTTCTTTTTTTTTTCCTAACCAGGCTAAACAGATTTGGGTTAATAATGGCTTTTACAATCTAACAAAATAATTTGATGAGCATAGAAATAGCCAGAACTATACCTGTTAACGACTCAGAGCCAGAGTAGGAATAATTCCACAAAGCTTCATTGGCTTCAGTGAAGCTGCATTGATCTGTGCTAATATGGGATGTGGTAATTAGTCACTGCTGGTGTCTGATTTCAGGGAAAGGCACATTTCTAGTTTCAGCAGGTGCCAGAACTATTTATAGCACGGTATGTGTTTGAAAGGAGAAATTAGGTGGGGCCATTAGGCAGGGCATCGCTGTCTGAGGGCTGTTCTTGTATATTTAAGATTTGCATCGTGAACATTGGTCTTTAGGAAGCCTGTGTAGGCAGCTCCTTAGCTTCCAGAGAGCATGCCACTGGGGTAGTGTGCTGGGTTCAGTCAGGAAATAGTTGACTCCCTTTACCGCGGCTGCTACAAAGCTGTGTTCCTGGATTTATGCTGAGACCAGTACTGATAAGGTCTCAGCTGGCACTGGGGAATGCCTGCACTGAATTCAAGGTCTTTCTCTGCTTCTGATCCTGCAGCTGCGTTCCCAGCTCTCGCTGTCTCGCTACAGGCAGTGCAGGGGACACACAGTTCAGGCACCTGACCCCAACTGACCAAGGGAGTATTTCATTCCATAGTACGTCATGCTCGGGGCAGAGGTG